TGGTCGGTTTCCGAGTCAAACTCATCAGATACATTAATTCATCAAACACCCTCTCTCTCTCTCTCTCTGTCTCACACACACACACAGAGTTCGACACAGACAGTGGATTCCTTAACCTTTAGACACGTTGAAGATGGCGAACATATCCAACTTCAAAGGCTAATGATCTGTGGCTGCAAAGTCAATATTATTTCCTGTTTACGTACGCATGACGGCCAGCTCACGTACGTATGGCCACCAAAGAGAGGCTTTGCCCTCAATGGAATCATATCGTACGAGTTTACGTTCAAGAACATCACATGGGATGGCTCAATAGGTGGCGATTTGATGAACTCTAATCTGATGATTCATTAATATTAGTATTACATCTGTATATAAGTATCTAGAATTTCTAGACTTCTTTGCTGTGTTTGGTGCTGTCGCTAGCAACTTAAATGATTGAGCTTCTTTGCACAAGAAGAACACTTATATATAGTAGAAGCTTATTTGCCTTTATCAAATAAAATATCCACATTAATTTATATATGTATATATACTTACGTACATGTAGATTAAAACAAGATGTTAATATTTAAAAATAGAAATTAGAAATAAATGACCTTTTTTTTTTAAATTTACATTCATATTACTTTTTCTTTCTTAAATACAACATACCCACGCAAACAAACACGAGTAAATTAACGTGTGGATGAAATCCTAATAACGTGGCTTTGTTGACTTTGTAAATTTTGGTCAAATGGTCGATCGATATATTCATTTGCAGACAAAATAATTTGATTCATCACAATTCTCCAAAATCTAGCTAGTCCAACCTGGAGCCGTAAAACGTATTGAGAGGGAAAAAAAAATCAAATTCAATATATAAACCGGCTTCAATTCCCAAAGTGTTAATTAACATGATAAAAAGTCAATTTTGACGACATAAAAGTTCATAGCGAGCAATCGGATATAATTATTTTTCCCAATGTAATAAAAGCACAACTTGTGTACTTTTGATCTTCTTAATTGAGAATTCCTAACTATGGGCTAAAATCATAAAACAGCTTAATTAGTTACATCAATGAAATTAACTAGTGCACCGGCATTAACCAAAAAGAAAAAGGCAGCATGGAGACACAATTAACTTTTGGGGCTGTTAATTAATATTTGGCTAAAAAAGGAAGCTTTTCGGCAATAAGCTTGAATGAGCTTTGAAATATTTAACACATGCTACAAAATATAGAGACGTGCGTGCGATGGAGAACAATTCCAAACACAAAACGACATGAAGACAGACAAAACACGCAGAGCCACATTTTATGATCGCAGAAACAAAATTGCACTTAATATGCCTTCTTGTTTGCTTCTGACCAACAGATCGTTAGCCCCACACACACACACACACACACATTATATTGTTCTCCACCGCTTAGACATCGTCGTACGTATACTCATTTTGCCGAATACACATTTTTAGTGTATTCAAAGATTTTGTGCTGCATCAATTTCGGCGCCCCATTGCATGTTCTTATCGAGTCTATTTTTTTAAAAACAAAATTTATTTTCCACTTGCGGCCATATACACGTACTCCTCCGGTCCTAATTATAAGACCCAATTGACTTATTTGAGGAGATTAAGGAAGTAAGTTAAGTTGGTTATTTATAATAAATAAGTGTTGTCATTCCTAAAATATCCTTGCTAATTAAGTATATTGGCTAAAACTATCATTATTAGAAGGATTATCTTGGAAAAAAATGCCATAAATATAAGAGACAAAATAGATGGGTCTTATAATTAGGACCAAATAAAAAGTCAAATTGGGTCTTATAATAAGGACCGGAGGAAGTAACTTATTACGATTATTCCTAATGAAATTCAATATATATACTGTTTTTATTCTCAATGTAAGACATGATTAGTTAATTTAAGTAGATAAAGATGTTAGTTAAATTAGTTAATATGATATGGTTTAAGCACTTCTGAGCATCTTTTTTTAATTCCTTCCTTCATTCTTTTACTTGATCATTGTTGAAAAATATTAATAGAGTTAATTTTAAAAAAAATTGGTAAATATATGAAATAAATATTACTCCAATTAGGCTGGTCAGGAGTATAGATCTTCTCTATCTCTATCTGGTGCTATAAATAACGATAAAGTATAATTCAAACATTAATTTTATAATCATACTACACTGGAAATATTTGGCCAAAAAAAAAAATAATACACTAGAAATACGTGGGATAATATTGGTTAGAGGCATGTCATAAATAATTATAAAGTGGCGTTGTTAATTATTATTTCTTATATTCGACTGGGGATGCGCAAATCACTCAATTTTGCATCATATATGCTATAACCATTATGATCTATTATCATTTTTTCACACACACACACACACTGCCAACCTCACACGCATATACTCCTCCGGTCCTTATTATAAGACCCAATTTGACTTTTTATTTGGTCCTAATTATAAGACCCAATCCATTTTATCTCTTATATTTATGCATTTTTTCCAAGATAATCCTTCTAATAATGATAGTTTTAGCCAATATACTTAATTAGCAAGGATATTTTAGGAATGACAACACTTATTTATTATAAATAACCAATTTAACTTACTTCCTTAATCTCCTCAAATAAGTCAATTGGGTCTTATAATTAGGACCGGAGGAGTATATTATTAGATAGTCGGTCATATGTAATGTATTTGTCTTTGATATGAAAATATTGGTTTAGAATTACAAAATTAATATAGTATTATAGTGACTTGTTTATATATCATGATTTTAGTAGTTTCTGACGTCACACACACGCACACACACCAAATCTTTCTTACCGCATTTAGATTTTTCATCTATGATACGAGAAGGAGATCATCAAAATCATGACACAAAGCCAACCCATAAAATTGCTTGGGAAAATGGAATAAAAAATACTTGTTAAATCTCAAGAAAACAGATACGTTCTACTCCTCTGGTCCTATTTATAAGATACTTCTAACATGTTTCACACAGACCAAGAAAAACTTTAAACTGCATAACTCTTTATTAAAATGTAGCAACTTTCCAACTTTACTCCTATTTAATATATACTCTTTTTAAAAACAATAACTATCTACACTATAATAAATGAAGGACAATATGATACATTCATAATAAAAATTTAATGAAGTGACTTATAAATAGGACCAAAGAAAACCTTCTCTCTCTACCCTATAAATAGGACCAAAAGAGTACTCCTCTAATAGTTTTGGCTACTTTTATAATAATTTTGACAAGTCAAAATCTTTTAAAATCACCTGTTCGTTATTTTGAAATTCAATAGGTATTTTTCTGTTGTTATTCCTAATTACTTTTATTTTGAATATTTCTCAAAATTTCAATTAGAATAAATTCATCATGTAACAACCAAATAATTATTTATTTTTTATAAATAAATACATAAATTAAATGAACTGTAATCAACCAAGTCCGACGATAAAAGTAGGAACCAAACTTGACGCCGTAATTTCTTCTTCGTCCATTCACTCATTTCCGTACTCCATCTCCAACTCCAAGTCCCAGATCCCTCGTGCTCGTGGCGTTGCCATAAAAAGTTCGGCGACTAATAACACAATCCCACGTCTCTTCCTCCACGTAACCGGATAAGACCTTCCGCGTGACCGAGCCTACCGGTTTCTCCAAGCCAAGAGCGGGGCCCACCCCTGCATTATTGAGTCCACGTGTCCCACAATGCTGACGCAATTAATATCAGCTGCCCGCTAAGCCATCCAATAAAAATGGATTTCTAAAAAAAAAAAAAAAGGGCGCAAGCAGGCAAGCAGCATGCCATGCTTTTCAATAAAAGCAAACTCGCTTTTTGTGTGGACCCCGCGATGGTTCCTGCTGTCACGACTCCTGCATCGCCACGTACACCCAAGTCATTTAGTCATTATATTTATTTTTTAAAAAAATAGTTCTTCTAATAATAGTAGTTTTAGCCAATAAATTTGACTAACAAGGATATTTAAGAAAGACAACACTTTTTTATTACAAATAACTAATTAATTTATTTTCTCAATCTTCTCAAATTAGTTAACTATTTTGTATATTTAGGACATGAGGTGGTATAAGAATTTGTTAGACTTTTATTTTAGTCATAAATATAAAATTTTAATATATTTTGTCTCTTATACTTATTCATTTTTTTAAAGTAGTCTTTATAATAATAGTAGTTCTAGACTATATACTTAATTATTGAAAGTATTTTAAGAAAAAAATACCTATTTATTATAAATAACTAATTTAACTAATTTTTTTATATTAAGGATTGGAGATAGTAGAATTAAATAATAAAAATAATAATCCCATGCAAATCATATTACTTTCCAATTATTATTACTACTTGCTAGCACGCCAATACGACCCTTTACGTCCACGTGTCCGGGACACGTGCCAACCCTCCGGTGACCTTTCGCCGGAATTATGGACTCCCTGTCGGGGTCTCTTGTACCACTCTTGGTTAATTAACGTTCTATATCCTGCCTTTACTTTCACTTCAGTTTGTCTCCTTCAATCTCCTTCTCATAAAGAAAGAACAAAATATAAAACGGCAACAAAGACAAGAAATAGTTGTTATACCTAGAGAGACCACTTATATGAATTGCTAACACGTCCAATCGACACACCACAGATAGTTCTGAATTTTAATATTCATTATATATTTTCCACTTCATTTAAATTCGGTGATAGGGAAGCAGGTCATGTGCTTCGAAGTGATGGAATGATTTTTTTTTTTTAAATATTTTTTTGGGTTTCGTGATTTGTTCAAGTAATCTTGTTGGGGTGATGCGTTACCACATTAGGAGGGAAAAAACAATGGTCTACAGTATCATGGCAATAATGGAAACTTTGAATTAATTAAAAAAAGTGGGGGGAAAAGATTTGGTGGATATTGCTGCTACTTTCAGAAAACAGATAGGAAATGAAGGAAAATCTGAAACAAAGAAATATAAACTAACCATTCATTCAATACAAATGAAAAAGATTAGAAAATGTTACAGGTATTATGGAAGCCGCCGGCAGAAGAGGCAATATCCAACCAGAAGCTATATGTGGGTATAGCTATATAGCCCAGAAAAGTAGGCGGGGAAATCTATAAGCAAATAAAATCAACCTGTTTGGCTGACTTTAATGATTTACTAATTACAAACAACATTACATGAAGTCATTAACATCTAAAATCTCTGGGATTTCAAACTTGAACATGTTGCTGCTGTTATAGCTCTCTCTTTCATCCTCCGTGCTGCAGCTTCCTCCATTGATGTACGTTGAATTCGAATTCGATGGTGTGGATTGAACTGAGGCCAAGCTGAAGTTGGTGTTGTTATTATTCTGCAGGTCCATAAGATTCTGATACTGATTATCGGAACTGTAGTATTGGAAGCTCGGTAACAATTCAGGAACATAGTCCTGTGTTAGAGCATTAGTTGAAGAAGCTATCCCACTGTTATTGTTTTGCCAATCGCCAAACTCGGCGAAGTTCGCAGAAATGTAAGGATCTAGATCTACATTGGGTTGGAGCATTGGCTGTGATCCAGGTAAAGCCATTTCTTGTTGAAACAGTGAGGCATCTGGGATTTGTTGATTGCAGAAGTTGAGGTTTTGGGGATGATCTCTTCGTTGAGTTGAAAGGAGGGAAGAAGCTAGCTTGAGAAAGTGTGGGTTAAGTAAAGGAGCCTGCATGCCGCCGAGTTGCAGGCTTGAAAGATCGTTATTGTTGAGGTGTGAGGAAGAAGATGATGAAGCATAGAGAATGGAAGAGAGGTCCAGAAGGTCTAAACGTGGGGAGTGAGTCACAGGATCAATCCCCATACGAAGAAGCCTCTTACGAATGTGAGTGTTCCAGTAGTTCTTTATCTCGTTGTCTGTTCTTCCCGGCAAACGAGAAGCAATCGCCGACCACCTTCACAAATTCAAAAATCAATAAGCATGAACCCAAACAAGGAACTATGAGAGAAGAATGAGAGATTCATTCTCAGTGAAGAATATTGGTAATTACTTGTTGCCGAGAATGCTGTGAAGCTGAATGATGGTCTCCTCCTCTTCGAAAGAGAAACGACCTCGTTTGATATCTGGCCGGAGATAGTTGGTCCAACGGAGACGACAGCTCTTTCCACACCTTTGCAACCCTAATAATAATGGTCAAAAGCAAACAAACCGCCCATTAATATGCAAGAAGAAGACTAAAGGAATAAGGAAAGAAAGAAAGAGACGTGATATAGATATATACCAGCATTCTTAGGAAGTGTCCTCCAGTTGCCATAGCCATGCTTCTGAATATAATCAATGAGTTTCTGATCTTCTTCAGGAGTCCAGGGGCCCTTCTTCAGACCATTCTTGTCACAACAAGGTGATCTTCCCATGTCGTTTCGGATATAATTTGCTTCAACTCGGTCCCTAGGCTTTTGAAGACGTAAGAGAATAGCCAGAGAAGATCACAGAGAAGAAGAATAAGAAGAACTATGAATTGTGAGGCGAATGCAAGGAACGTAATGGAACGTAGTGATGGAGGTATAAATAGGAGAGAAGGAAGGAGATTGAAGATGGGAGTGTGAGAAACAGAGGGAAGTCAAATGGATTCGGTGCCGTCCTGTTATCTCTTCTGCTACGTGTCCCTTCTCCTCACAAAAAATCTCTCTCTCTCTCTCTCTCTCTCTAGTTATCTAGACATATAATTCTACTCATACGTAGACATCCTAATAAAATTACAGGTAATATATCATCTCACTAAATTATTTTATTTACATCACAATTTCCATGGAAATTGATCGTACGAATGTGTTTAAGTGGTAATTGATTACTAATATTGTGAAAGACTAACACTGAAGCTATCGTTTTCCGGGGAGAGTGTGACTCCATGCTAGCTTTCTGGATTCATATTAGCTGTATTCAATATGAGAACGCCACGTAACCCCTCCAACCCCATCTCATGGTCCAACACAATAAATATATATATGTTGCTACTATTATTCATGTCATATGGCTAGCTGCGAAATTAAGCTGCGTTTTGTGACTGTATCTCTGGGAGTCACTATCTTGAATGTGTCTGTATTAAATGCAAGGAAGATTGAGGGCGAGCATTTAATAGAAGATGGCAATAATAGAGTTGGGTGTTTGATGAAAATACATAAGCCAACATATATATATCTATGTATATATGTATAACTAGTTATTGATGACGATATATATTATTTGGGATAATGTTTTAAATTTATATATATTTTCTGGGTTCTGGAAAAGTGAAGCTTTTTTCTTATGTCTTAGTATGTATATGTTATACAGCTTATCAATTACATATCATCATCAAAGTTCCACGGATTTGACACTGAAAATGAATTTTTCTTTCATAATAAAGATGATAGCTAGCGTGTGACAAAACTGATGTTCTAGATTATTGCCCAAAGTTATAAATGCAAATTTTTCAATAAGTTTAATTTTTTTTCAAAAAAAAGAAGGACATTGTCATTGACTATGGGTGAATTGATGATGAGAACAAATCGGCGCAGAGAAAGATGATTGATATAACTAGTTTTTGCCATTTTTTCTTCATTGACTTTACTCCCTATAATAATGCTAGTTCATGATTCAAACCAGTAATGAATTTCCTATCAACTTAACTCAATTGACTAATTCATTAGTATTAAGTTAAAATTTTTTTGGGGGTGAATAATATTCAGTTAAATTAATTAGAACATCATTATTGGAATTTTTCGCGACAGAATCCAATCATACACACGATACTGTCAAGTCAATCACCGCCCTTTTACCTTGTTCATAACCCCTTTAGACCATTGACCCAAACACGTACACCACATTTTAAAACAAAAAATGCAGCAGAAGAATCAAATTAAAGGAACATATTCCTTTGCTAATGTAAGGCCATATATATATATATATATAGTTTACCTAGTTTTATGAAAAAAGGTGTTTTATATATATGTATATAAATATTTTCTATATGGTATACTTTCATGTGACAGCAGCCAGGTGTGAACTGAAGAATTCAAAGTTGAGTTTGAGTTGAAGAAATAAAAATAGCGAGGGCTTAAGTGCCTGAGTTTTTATAAGATTAATTATGTGTGTGCGAATAATTGTAGCGCATACCAAATTTCAAGCGTAAAAGTGTGATTATAAGCAGTTCAATTCAAAAAGGAAAGAGACAGATACCGTGAAAGTCAGAAAGAGCTCAAAGAAAAAGAAAGAAAATGTTATTCCTAGCCTCAACTTTCTAGATGAAAACCAGTCCATATACAATGATACATGTCCCACTAGTTAATTAATTTCTGATCCTTAATTAATTATATTTTTTCCCCCTTCACTCTCTTGTTTTCAAGTTTAATGAAATGGGTTTTAAATAATCATGTTCAAATAAATTCCAAAGCTAGTGTACCATATAATTAGCCTAGACTATATACATCTGTGGGTGTGTAGATGTGTATTTTGTCCCACTTGATTAGTTTGATTAATTAATATTACTGAGTTTTCTACAATATTCGGATGACTTCAAATAATTGTGACTGAAGTATTATTAATTTAAACGATATCATTTTACTCTAATGGGTCATGCTGTGAATTGATTTCTTCTTATTTATAGATATTGCATGAATGATAGTGAAGCTTGTACGGATTACTGTTGAATACAGTACTTCAGTAGCTATCTGAAAGTTCAATGGGGATTTAATATGAGATTAAATAACTAATTAATTAATGATTAATCGGATTGCATCGAAAGACCGCTCGAAACGTGTCCTTAACAAACGTCATTGAGTTAACAAATTCAACAAATCCCCCAATCTTTACACTGCCAGGTTATCAACCCTTCCACCTGTTGTCTGCTTGACAATAACAAAACAAGTCCTGGTTTAATTTTTTTTTTTCATGCATAATTAAATTGGCTTTGTACAAAATATTATTGTGGATGCCGAGTTAACCCCCCTTTTTTAATAAGAAAAATTTGGTAAAAAAAAAATCCCTATTTGAAAAATTAATTGACTAAAAGAATCTAAAGTTAAGCATGTATGTTATCATTCATAAATGCAACATATATTCCACTATATGTAAATGACTTCTGTATTGATAATTATTATATGTAATTCATGATATGTTGTATATAACAGAAGAAAAGTTACACTTACAGATCATAGTTACACTCGCTCAAATTTAAGTCCTTTTAGTCAATTGAATATTCAAACTTCTAACCAAATTTCTTTTTAATAATTGCTTTATAGTTTTCTATTTTGCCTTTTTGAGATGTGTAATTCTACTGGAGGATTAAAAATAGGCAGGCGAGAGGCCTGACGATGAAAAAGACTCAATCTTTTATCTTTTTTTTTTTGTAGGTCCTGAAAAAGACTCAATCTTTTGGTCTATCAAAATTGATGATTATTTTATAAAAGCAAGCAACTATATAATTGGTTGTTGCCTTGTACAATTTTATTATTTGAGTGTTTTTTCTTACGGAGTCTATATATATAGCCAGCTAGCTAGTGCAAGCTGGACTCTATCAATTTTTAAACATATTGAAAAATACGACTTTACTTGAACAAATCAAATAAAAGAGGCCAAAATAAGAGATTATGATGATTTAATTAAGTCTTGGTCTTCGATCTTCTTATGTTTGGTAATTACACTAATGGATTGACTATTACCTTCCGTTTCGATGTTGATGCTTTTGTTTTTATCTAATTTTCCAAACCATTGAAAAGATTAGGGGAAATCTGATATACACTTTTTTCCTCAAAAAGTGAGTCCATTTCGAATCTTTATTTTTTATTCAGTCTTCATGCAAACATGTGTGATTAGTATTGGTTAATATGGAAACCCCTTCCTGATTAGGTCTAACTCCAACTTTGTACTTTGAAAGTCAAACATTAATTAAATCATTCACTTAGATTTTCATCCCCTCTGGATTTGTTTCCCTTTTTAAACATTTTTCTCCCAAAATAGCCATACTTTTGGCTCCACGTTTCCTTCCCCTCTCTCTAGGTACACAAAAGCAACCAATTAGTAGGTTATTAATTAATTAAACCCTCCATCGAGATGAGAGCAAAATAATGTAATTAACAACTAATTATCAGTCACATTTCTTTAATTGAAAATCACACTTTAATGTATGGGGTTTGGATCCTCTCATAATCTTTCTTTCTTCTTTTCTTCTTAGAATCTCATCTCCACTGTTAGATTAAATAATAGATGATTCAGATTTAATATTTTAAAAAGCATATATCCACCTTTTCTCTCTTATTTATGTAATATTATAATAATAGTTTTGTAAAGTATGAAATCTGCATCATTCATTATATGATCCAATGATAGAGATTAGGTACTGAGGGAAAAAGAAGAAAGAAGAATTCTAGGAGGATTTAAACCCTAATTTGCGAACTTTGAATTCAAGAATAATTAATAAGATCGTGAGATCTGGGCCTTGTCCTTGCGTGCTTCATATTTTAGAGACACAGTCTCATGTCACAGGAATAATTAATCAATTAACAAATTTGCTTAGGACTTAAACTAGAGTTTAATTTTGTTTCTTCTTCTTTCTCATGTTTTTTATCGATTAATCACTCCCTAAGATGCTGCCCACGTGGAGACTAACCAGACGTGTTCGTGTACATAAATTTGTTAATTTTTTGTTGCGGGAGTTGTTAAATATAGTTCCAACAATACAAAGTCATATGTGAGGGTTATCAATTAGTTTATCTGTTTCAGGACAATTCTTCGTCGCCATTGTTTAGTATTATTCTGCAGATATGAGATCCAAAGCTTGCGCCAAGAAAACGCCAGCATTTCCATTTCAAGGAATCAAAGACTCTTGTATATATATTTAAATCTCCATTATTGTCTCATTCTATAGATCGGTGACGACGAAAGCTGATGTGTTACAGTATGAATTATATATTATATATGTAACGTCTGGTTCCTGCTATGGCTCCAGAACTTTCCTGATTAGGGGTTTAATATCTATTTTTAGTCCAATGGATGTAAATGGAATGGGAGACAGATGGTGCATTATGAGAGCATATATAAATTAAATTAAAGAAAGCATATTATTGAGTGCCGATAAGAGATGAAACCCAGATTCACGAGACCATTACGTGTCAGCTGTAAATTGGTTCTATTCATTAATGCTTTGCTGTGAGGCTTTGTACTATTTCTTGGCGTAGAAGCAGCCAACGCATATGCATTAAACTTTGTTCTTTCTTTTTCTTCTCCCCCCCCCCCCCACAATAATTTAAAGTCTGAGGTTTTGTCTCACTCACTCATGTTAATAGGGGAATAATGGATTATAAACGACTTAATTGTTGCTGAGTGGGCATATATACCCTTAATATCAGATGAACTTCAAGTCTTGTGATTATGATTTGATCTTGTTATTGCAGATAATTTGGTTTGGGTCTTCAAAGGCTCATTTGAGGTTGGGCCAAAAGCTCTCGGTTTGAGAGAAAAAAGTAATGTGTTTACCA